TCATATAGATCCGGGCTCTTTGTTATAACTTTATATGCAATGAATAACTAGCTTCCCACGAGAAGTTGGACTGATACATATGTTTCAACCATAACTCCATGAGCCAGAATACTTTCTTACTGTAACCAACTACTGGATGTGCTTACGAAGTTAAAATTTTTCCCATTAAGTGACTTTAATCTAAAATTATTTTCAGAAACAGAATTATTTATTTAAACTGATAGGAAGGTGAGCTAACCTATAGTTTGCACTTTCTACCCCACATGAAATACCTAGATAGACATGTTTACCATAAACAGTGTTATTCACATATGGATACAGTTTATATGTATATATATGTATACAGCTAGTTAAGTAAAAATTTCAAAAATGTCATTCTTATGAAATCGCTTATTAACAAATGAAATTAAGTTGTCGTGTTATCTATCTGCTATAACTGAATTAAAAAATAAATAATTTCTTAGCAAAAAAAGAGCAAAAAAGTAATTTCATATCACCAATATTTTATACAGTGATATGACGAATATATATATATATATATATATATATATATATATATATATATATATATATATATATCAACAAACTTGTATTTATTTTAACGGTTGAGATCATGAGTCAATTGAAGCTAGAGTTCAACCGGGTCAGTTGTGAGGTAGTAACTCACTGATGACAATGGTGGCTGTGTCGCTCGATTTCGTGGATTAGTTGAAGTTAGACATTAACACCGTTGGATGTCGTCTCAGTGGTCTAGTTGGTTAGGCGCCTGGCGCGACACCGATTGGTCCTGGGTTCCAGTCCCGCGGGGCGGGGTCGTGGATGAGCACAATAGGACGAAACGGCCATCTGGTGCTTCCAGATTTTCCATGGTGGTCTAGCTTCAATTGATTCATGATCTCAACTGTTGAAATTACTACAATCTCCACAAAACCCCTTCTGATACTTAACTTGTATTTGGTAAGTGAAGTGATATCATAGCTGTATTTGTTAAGATATACTGAATTAGATAAAATTATAAAACTCCATGATATACATTAGCTAACGGATTTACATACATTTAAAGTAATTCAGCATAAGAAAATTTAGTGTCAGATAAAAACACGTGTTTTATTTAATTTGATGATTTCCGTTCTATAATTTGAAGATTTTATTGAAACGTAACTGGATAAAGCGTTTAATGACATATCTAACAGTACAATCGTAATGTCTTCACGCTTTTAATATTATAAATAACTTAGCAAATACATTTTAACTCATAGATGTATTAATGATTTGTTGTTTAGTCTCTAATTTTAAGAAGTGTATTTTGAAATACAGTAAATCACTAAGAATTAACCAAAACACAAGTCTCCATTGTTTCAGTTGCTATTTATAATTAACCCATATTAATTTTTAAAATGAATCGTCAATTCAACCACACTTAGACCAATGTGACTGAAATTTCAATTTCAAGACAGATTTCCTCAAAATATCTCGGTGTTAACTACCAAAACTAAATAACGGTACTTTTTTGAGAGTAAACTTCAAATCTACCTATGTGATTTTACTTTAATCCTTTGTTATTTACTTGATGAGCAGAGGTTGACAACTCCAAATGATTTAAAAACGTTTATTCTAAAATCTAAAAAACCAACAAATTAAATCAAGTCACCTTGATAATTCAGTTGTTGTTTGATGCCTTTTCACCAAGATCCAATAATTTAGTGTCATATCTTCATCCTAAAGAGTCATTTCCTTCATTGATTTCTGTGTGTTTTCAATACTTTGTTGTGCGCTTCTAAATCACATAGAATTAGAGAGATCTAAAGTCTTTCAACTTTTTTTTGGATAAGGTATTGGAGCTACCTCGTTATGTGGACTACATATCCTTTTGTTTCAAAATTACAATCATTCAGTTGCTTAAATCAACTAAAACTATAAATTTAAACTGTCAGTAACTAAGCAAAATATAGTCATTTACTACCTTCACCTAGAGAAATAATGACACTCTGGAGTTATCCACCTATTTTGTTGATTCAGGCTATTTGTTTTTCAGAAACGAAGGACAACTGACACAAGTTTAATATTTTTAATAATTAACTACTCATGAGTAGCCAAATGTTTCTCTCTTATTTATTTTGGTCAAGACGAATTTAGGTTTCATTTCTACATAACTATTACCACAAGTCTTTACTTTAATATCAAGCCATTATCGTAAAACATCGTGTAGATTCATAGACTCTTGCAAAAGCATCACCTTATCTTTTTCGCAAGTTGATCTGCATATCATAATTTTTATTTAGTAAGCGTCATCACCATTTACTATAACAACAAGCTGTTATAATCTGCTTTATGAAAAGTTAGTTGTAATGGATGGAATTTATGTATCTCCTTTCATCCAAATGAAAAACTGTATTTCCTCTGTATATCCAACAATTTCAAAATGGTTTTCTCAAGATCACCTATTAATTACTATGATATTATAAACTTAATGAAGATTTTTATTTACATGATTATAATCTTTTGACACCATCTTCAACAGTCATTAGTAAGGAACATAAAATTGGTAAAATAACTGGACCACAGAAATCAGAATGGACCAGTTGATGACACATTATACTTTTCCAATCCAGGGACAATCGAATGAAGAGGCTGAGTATGGTTAAGCCAACTTCACGCAAAGCGTTACAGGTAAGTGACGTAAAATTCCTAATAAAACGTCCCTCATTAAAAACTAAAACATAATTAGTAGATTGTTGAAAAGCGTTTAATAACTGAGTAGTACTAACAAGCCAGTCATTCCAAAAAGTGGATGAGTTCAATAAAAACAAATGTCCTTGATAAACCTGGGAGGGAACTGCTGTTCGATACAACGTTGTTTAAAACTTTTAGGACGGAAAGCTATCATAATCATAGATACCAGTATCTATGTGCTGAATACAATCTTTAAACATCCACACAAAAACCGAGTGCTACATCTCACTTTGTATGCTTACCAAAATCGGGAGGTTAGGGACATAAGGAAGCTCACCCCTCCTAAAGGTTCTTTACATTTTTTGATGACAATCACAGCTCATTAAATAAAATAATCTTAAAATCTCTTTCCTACGCCTACTTAACAAGTTGCGTCATACTTTTACTAAGTACATTCACTAATTTACTTCATTCAAGAACTTCTCATTGAGTGTTACACTGATCATAAGGTTGAAATAGAGTATCTAGTGCCAAATTTTCTTGAACTGCTCAGTTTTAATTCCATGCTTCTAATGGACGTTGAAAACCATTTATAAATTCTCATGTTTAATTAGTTACTATTAAACGGTTTAACAAAATAAATAACCAAATAAATAACTATGGCAAAAAGGACATTATTAATAATGACAGACTAATAAATATAACATTGATAGTTAAAGTTCTGATTGACTGAAAACATCAGGGTCATCTCGTGAGCAATCAGATATGATCGAAGCAAACTCAAATCGAGTTTAACTTCTTTTGACAGAGAAGGTCAAGAGGATCGTTCACTAATTACAAACTAAATGTTAATAAAATTTCACCAAATAACAAGGACACTTAATCTTGAAAATTTCAGTAACCTTATTTAACTACTCAATAATTCTCAGTAAAAAAATCATTTCGCTGAAAAATTGCGTGTGTATACAACATAGCGATTTCTGACACCATATATATACTCTAAGTATAACTTGTGAAATCGTTAACTCAAATTTTGAATAGGCTTCATTTTGATGAAAATCGTCTCAAAGATATTCATGTCCTTCCACTAGCTATTTCACACCAGATGATATATGCTGTGGTGTCTAGTACCATGCCAAGCCCCCATGGGTTCTTCTAGCTTCCGGAGAGACCAATTTGTTCATTCTTCTTGAGTCACATTTTGACCTTGTAAATTAATCACTTAAATCCCTTGTTGTTTTTTTATGAGCGAAGATGTGTCCATTGCTCATCTTATTGATCACATGTCTAGCTTATTTTGTCTGACTACTAATATTGAGTCAGGCTTGACCGAACGGAATCGACACACTTGTTTTCTTCGGTCTGCTTCTTTACTTCCTTTCTTTGATTGTCTGTCTGAATCAATGAGCGTATGGTGCACCCAAAAATCCAAAATTTATTCTCGTATTTGACTTATTTTATTTCATTATTCTCTAACGCGAATTAAATCGATAATTATATGTGTTAGTAGCCGACATTTTTTGTCCGTTAACATCATCACCTGATCAAAGCGGAATCAGATCAATGGGCCACTAAAAGGTCAATATATGAGATAAATTCTGGAAAGTTATTGATATGCTGCAGACTGAATTACGTTTTCCATGAACTTCAGTAAAAGGACTTAGAAATCAATCTTTTGATTTCTGAGGTGCTTACAAGATAAGATCAGTTTTTTATAAACTGAATAGTGGAATGTCAATTTTTGCCTTTTTATAACAGTTCATAAAAGCTAACATAGCAGTAATCTGCTTTTCTAAAACACTCAGGGACTAATCATATGGACAACTATAAACATCTACATCAAAACCTAGGAACTTTGTAAGATATCATGAAAATCCTAATCAGAGAATATACTTACAACATTCACATTTTTAAAGCGAGAATAGAACAATCACACGGAACTTTCTACAGCATCAAGCATACTCTAAACTTTAATACGGTTATTTCTGTCAGGAAAACAAATCAAAACCTTTCATATAATTGTATTATTCTCATCTTGACCCCCGAAATTATCAAACATTTGTTTAATTCTACTTACCGTTAGTTTCATTTAAAATTTGACCAGATTTAAGATGGCACAAAAATCATAGTTCCATTTAAAATAAACACTTTAATTAACATAGCTTAACGGATTTCTATTTGTGGCTAAATAATCAAATAGACTAAACCGACTTTATAGGTTCTCTATAGATCTATGGTGATAAAAACTTATTTGAAAATAGCTATACGTTTGAGTCTTACAAAGTCCATCCCTTTCATGATGTAGAGTTTGGAATATTGAAACTCACCTGGTCTTACGTCACTTTGGGTAGTGAACCTTTCAGACGTAGCATCAAAAGGTTTAGGTTGAAAACGCCTTAACCACCTTCTTGAAATCGCACCACTTTTTGGGTCATATGCGTTTGGTCCTGGTGTGTCAATAACTTTCTCTTTGAATCTCTTAACAAATATGAAATAAAATGAAGTTTTTGATCTGTGGAAAATCAAATTAATGATCGAAAATAAACATAAAAAGCTGTTAATAAACAGTAGTAAGATAAGAAGATTTACCTTGAAGTATGAACTATTTTGACAACTAAATTTATGTGCAAACTGAATGTAATGTTATATATATAATGGATATGATGTGTAAACCGGAAAAACCTTTTGTAAACATTTCTTAGTGAACTTTACCATAGTTACGAAAGATCATTCTTATTGATGACTCTGAAAGTTAGTGAAAAAAATAACTCAGTCTTTAAGTACTTATGATTTCGTCAAAGCGATATATAATTCTATACACTCATTTTACAAGTTGTTTGCCTCACATTAATAACAGGAAAATAATAAAAGTAGTTCCTCGTTAAACCAATGATAATTTTCTGCCTCCAGCTTTGAGATTATTAGAAAGAAAATGAAAGGATTATATGAGTCAGATATTTCAACAACGGTTTTTAAGTATTATGTCTCACATGTTTTCACACAACATAGCTTAGATTTTTTATCCTCTATCAATAAA